CTTAATTTTCCAACCTTTCTCACTTCTTTATTTTTTGTCCTTTCTCTCTTTTTTTTCCGAATTTGGCTCTATAATTCTTTGATTCACAACTCCAGCTTTATTTAGTATTCCTTCCAGCGTAGCAAGATTTGGCTACATTGAGCCAAATGTGGCTACTTTTTTAGTTTAACGTAAAAAAATATCATTTGGAGCTTTGGCTACTTTTGGGGCTACATATCATTTATAAATATGTTAGTTGAATAAAAATGCACTTTAAAATGGTGTTTCTTGGTTTTTTATTAATCAGAGACTCAAATAAACCAAATATTTGCGTTTTATCAAATAAATGAATTTATCTATTTGTAAGTAAAAATTGATAGTGTCTGTAGAAGTAATTTTTCAAAATATCCTGTTTCGTGATAAAGTTTTAATACTTATTATTATAATCTAGACATGTTAATCCTTAAATATACTTGTATATTCAGCCACAAGTATATATAATATATACTTGTGGCCCAAAACTCCTTGACTTCTTCCAATGCGGCCCAGAGAAACAAAAAGGTTGGACACCCCTGGTATAGAGTAATTTAGAATCAGGGCTGTGGAGTTGGAGTCGGAGTCGGAGTCGTGGAGTTTTGATGTTTTAGCCGGAGTCAGAGTCAGATGGTAAGGAAAAGTTGGAGTTGGAGTCGGAGTCAGTAGATTTTTACGCGACTTCCACAGTCCTGGCAGGGCTGTTGAGTCAGAGTTGGAGTCGGAGTCGTGGAGTTTTGGTGTTTTAGCCGGAGTAGGAGTCGGATAATAAGGAAGAGTCGGAGTCGGTAGATTTTTACGCGGCTCCACAGCCCTATTTAGAATGACAGGTAAGGAGTTTAACTAAAATTTTATCTTTTCAAATCATCTAGAGTTAGACAGAACTTTCTATTCCAAGGTTCACAAAAGCATTTTTTTAAAATAAAATTATATTGTTGAATATTGAGCAAGGGGAAATTGCAGTTGAGTTCATAAATCAAGAGTCTATTGTCAAAAGGATAATTAAGAAAATTCGTGTTGAACTGAAACTCACCATATCTTTCCAAAAGTGCTGATGAATTTGAACCAAATGTTAGTCAAGTTATTGATTTATACAATTATATCAAAGCAGACATGAATGACAATGTAATAACTGAATTGAAAGATGTTGAATTGGGTTAATTATGAAAACTAATTATTTCAAATGTTGTAACTGTAACCCATAAATATAGTCAATAAATGGTTTTGATAATTAGGAAAATGTACAAGTAAAGTAAGTAAGGTATTACTTTCAACTTTTACCCACTCATTTCCTATTTCAAAGTAATAAACCCCAGAGTTATGTACTGTACATTTTCAAAATAAACCCACAGGGTTTAACTGAGGAAATACAGTAAGTCAATTACATTTTCATTTCATAAATCATAAGTATTTTATTTTAAACACATTTTAAATTTTCAAATCAATATGCAACTTACTGAAGCATATGATCTTGCAACTGTTTTTGTAATTTTACTCTTAACTTTTCTTGTTCTTTGGCACACTTCAAAACAAATGCTGCACTTGGTTGAGATACAGACCATGCTTTTGCTCCACTACTGGCCATTGGTGCATTGTGGCAAAAGATTTCACAGTGCTTTGTTTAAAACATTCCTAAAATTAACAATTAAAATAAATTAATATGAATAATTAGAAATATAAGTACAAAAATTAAATTTTAGAAAGTAAATAATTATTGTAATATCTCATAAACAAAAAACTTCAGAATTAATAATTGTATCATCTGTAATTGATTTTTAATATATAAAATAAGATTTCTTCAGTATTATTTTAATTGCAAAAAATAATTATTATTTATATTAGAAATAGATTCACAATAAACCTTTGAGTAACCAGTGGTTTTATCGTGAATCTATTTTATATATTCTTCTCACCAGTACCTGGTGAGAAGAAAGCTTTACACGAGGTATTTATATTAGTTTTGATATTGTCTCAGCTTGCTATACTGTTCAAACATTTTTGTAAAAAAAAAAAGTATTAATTAATCAATTAATACTTTCATAATTATTGATAATTATGAATTATTCATAAATTCTTTATTGACATAAAAAATAATTTCCCTAGCTAGATGAAATACAAAATACAAAAAAGTAATTACTGGTAACATAAATTTTAATATTAGTATAATTTCTACTAACTCCAAAATAACTAGATGAAAACAATGTATTTGTATTAGATTTTGGATTATTCTTATAAAGTAAATAATTAATAAAAAAAAATAACAAACATTTTTGGTAATCTTAAAAACTACCATCATCAAGTTACAATTATCATTCAAAAATGGAATGTAATACTAGAAAACTTTTAAAACTTTAATAGAAAACTTTTTAAAATTTTTTAAAATGTCTTCTCTTGCCTGGATAAAGGTTAGTGTGACATTGTTAGCATTACAGTGCTAGTTTTGAACCTCATATAAAGCTATCAAGGCTTGTGTAATGTGTTATCTTTAAAATTAATTACTCGACCTTTTTGAGTGAGATGTAGCCCGATTTAATCCAGTAATTGTTTGTTTTTGAAGCAAAGACATCAGGTAAACTTAAACTACTGACTAAGACCTATACTAAACTTCTTTGCCAACCTCACTGAAATTATGGAGATATAAAAGAAAGTTATTAATGAAACCATAATTTATAGATAATAAATAGATAATATGCAAATGACCATAATAACTATTATTTGATTTGTGACTGTGTAGACTAGTATCAAAACCAACCATATCCAGAATAGTTTACTTTACAGGAGAGCCTATAAACTTGCTGATCTCTGTAAAGCTTTCTGAACATGAAAAGGTTTTGTACCAATATGATACCAATATCTCAATAATTGAATTTTTTGGAGATGGCTGGTTTTGATACTAGGCTACTCAATTATTTGTTTAATTTTGTAATAATTTTGAAACACCTTTTGTCACAATGGAGGCAAAAGGTGTTTCAATTTGCTTTATGTTTACATGTATACAAATATTTTTGTATACATAAAAATGTTCAATTATCATGTGTATTATTATTTTTTCCAACAGTTAGCATGTAAATTGTTCATCTGTTGTGCACAATTCCTCAAAACAAAGAAACTATAATTAATTGTCATGTATTTATATGAAGATCTATTATTTATATAGGTTTGTGCAATTATTGTGTTCAAGGTTGCACCCATAAGCAATCAGGCACAAACTATACAATGGGTAGCTATGAAAAGGCTTTATTTTTGTTTCAACAATTTTCTACAAATTTTACATCTTCATAGGTTATATGCATGAAAAGTACATTTACATACAGTACATTTTTGTAGAGATCCAGAATATTTGGTTTGATTAACCATCCTTAAATTTGGAAATAATTACTTTTTAAATCTTTAACAAATTTATTCGACATTATATTTCATTTTCTGATCAGATTTTAATAGACACAACTAATGATAAAATTATTGATTAATATTTTTATTCATTACACTCCTAAACAGCAAGATTAAGCAAAGTTTGGTAAAAAGATTTGAAGATACTTTAAATAAAATAGAAGACTAGTAGAAATATTCAGTATTTTTTATATTTATTTTAAAATGTTTATATTAATTATATAGATTTATGAATATTGTAGTATCATTGACATCAGTAGACACTGCCTTTACAAACTAATCAATTCCTAGAAAACTCTCATTAAACAAGACATCATAAATTCAATGTCATGAATTGTTGTATTCCTAAAAACAATTTAAACTGTAATACACACTAAAATAAAAAAATCACTTAAATGCAGCTGTTCATAAATCATAATAGAAAATTCATAAAAGTTGTAAAACAAATGATCATAAAATTGTCTATTCTATGCATTTTTGAAAAACTAGTTAATTAATCCAACAAGTTGTAAAGATTTAATTCTTAGAATCAAAGACTGTACATCAAGCTTTATAGTTTATCTTTCTAAATATTTTGAGTAATTATCATTACTTTATTTTTATTTTATTTATTTAAGTTGACTTACAGTAGCATTCACAAGAACATTTGATGACTGCTCCCAGAATAATTATTCCCATTAAAAAAATCAACAAATAAACATATAAACATATAAAATAAATATATTAAATACAAATATAAAATTTGTATTTAAAAAAAAAGAAAATTTAAAAGAAAAATGATTTTATAATACAATGATGTAAATAACATTTTTACAATGCTTTTTGAAAGTAAAAAGTCCTGAAATAATTGATGCTCTATAATCTTAATAGTTTTGAGAGAATAAATAAAAAAAAAAGCTTTACAAGTTATACTTAGACAAGTAAAAGGAGTGTGTATAAAACTGTGACTCCATGAGTTAAAAGTTGGTACACAGATAAAAATATAGTTTGAACTTAAAATACAATTAAGATAATTATAAATCAATGTGACATCAAAATAATGAATGCAGTTAATCAAGAGAGGGAGTCCAAGATGTATGCAAGCAATATTGCTATTCTTGGTATAGAGAAGCATTTGTTGAGCAAAAGATAAAATTTGTTAAGATTGAATATTGTCTACATTAGAGTCTAAAGTCATGGCCAATACTGGAAGGCTGTAATCAATGATAAATTGGATATTAGCTAAACATACAAAACTTTCAAGTAAAAAACTGATTTGCAGCTGCATTAAAGCATCCCTTGCCTAATCAAGAGATTTTTAAGTAGATGCTGAATGTGACTGTTAAAACTGAGTTTTGAATCAATTACGATGCCTAAATCATTAAAAGTTCTTAAATAGTCAAACACCCTCTACTTCAATACGGTAAACATTTATTTTTCTAACGTTTTTGGCTTTCTTAATTGACCTTCTTCACGAAATAACTTATTTATTTGTTGGTTTTTGGTGTTTGGTGTGTATTCTCAATGTACATCCAGTTTATCAAGTTGTTACTTAAACTTACATTTTACAAATAACAAAGTCATAACTTAATTTAAAATTTAACAGTTTTAGAACAAAACAGACAAATTTAAATAGAAGATATGGAAGCCAGAAATGTATAAAAGAGGAACAGATAGGAGAATGAATATGAGAATAGCATGTAATAAAGGTTTTCAACATATTGATCATGTTCTTTTTAAGGAAATAATTGCTAGAAGAAGTATTGAAGAATGTAATAAATAGTAAGTTAATCAGGGAAGAGACACTGTAAGGCAGTGAAGTTAGAATTAATTATTTTTTAAATTCTTGTTGGCATAGACAAGAATTTTTGAAAAACAGTGGGACAGTGGAAGGAAATTACATTTTCATAATATCCTCTAATTTCACAATATATTATAATGGTTACATTTCAAGACTCTCTCTGATTAAATAAATAATATCACTAATTATGTAAAGTCTTATATAGGTATCCCTCATAAAACACAGTAGTTACATTCTGAAAAAGTGCCATGTTATGCAAATCCATGCTATAAGAAACAAAATACTAAAGCAAAACATGGGTTAGGTTCCAAAAGTTAGCAAAAGTATAATATTCTTTTCCATCACTAAGAGAAATATGTTTATTAAAGCAATCAATAATTAACTAACAATCACAATTAAAACTATTATATGATGTGTTAATATTAATTTTAATTAAATGAGGATGTTTTCTTTTTACAAAGTATTGACATTTTCTGAGGTTTTTTGTTGATCTTGATCAGAAATATCAGCAACATCTTAGTTTTTTTATTTTTATCATAATTTTTTATGAATGAGAAATAAAAATAAAATTATGTTATCAATCAAAAATTTATTCTAGAGGGTCACATTTGTTCCATCAGGTAACAAGACATTTTTTCCATAATTTGTGTTCAAATATGAAATTGTTCAAGTTGGGAAATGTTCAAATACTGAGATACTGCTGTATTTCATTTGTCATTTTTATGAACGAAGTAATCATTCTTAGGTATGTAATACCCATGGTTAAAAAACGTTTAATAAAATTTACCTAAAAATGTTTAAATAAATTTTACTAAATATGGAGCTTAATCTATAAAAAGAAAACACAGTGAAAGTCTTAGGAGCTAAAGTCTAAAAGCAATGACAACACTTGGTTGAGAGGAAAGTTAGTGCAATTTTTTTCTTTCTTGTCCTATCAGTTTTCATTAAAGTAAACCTGGTGAAAGGCACAAAACAAATTGAAAATTTCAAAATTCTAAAATCTGTGGGCAAATTTAAGACAACATGCATGCTTACTTGAATTAAAAAATACAGAATAATGAAGTTTACACTTAAAAATTGTGAAATTTTGTACAAGGGATTTCCAAAATGTTGTCAGAGCAAAACTGGAAGTCATGTTGTACAGGAATATCCCCAATTTTCAATATTAGAGTAAAACTATATTCTAGAAGTACAGTGTTGTACAAGGGATACCTGTATTTGAGAAATAAAATATAATTTCACATTCTGATTCTAGAAATTTATCATAACCAGACTACTCTTATAATGTTCTCAATAAAATTCATATTTTCTTTAATTACAGTAGAGCATCAATTATCCAACCCCTGATTAACCGTCACATCGGTTAACCGACTGTTCTAGTCGGCAAATTTCAAATGTCTGCTAGTGATGTGGCATTATAATATTTGGCTATATCTTGGCTACTTTAATATTATTTTTGTTA